CAGTACTATATGCCCTGATGATAGGAGTTCTCAGGTCATTTAAAACTCTAGAAAATGATCCTCATAGGGATACATATTACATACAGCTGAAATCTGACTATTATTTACGTTTCTAAAGAAATGGCAGCAACAGAAAAGCTGTAAGAAAGATGTCAACTTTTTTGTTCTAGGAACTCCAATGAAAATTTAGCTTTGTTAGAGGAGAAAACAAAATAGAGATGGATCTCAGGTGGAATGATTTAGGACTCCCTGGATCATCTTATTGACCTGGAGTTTTATGCTGAGTATAATGTGAAATCTTTGAAAAATCATTTTGATTCAAGACGAAGGAACTTACCAGTTTGCATGTCTCAAAGATCACTTGAGTTGAAAACCATCAATTGATTGAAAGCTATATATGTATTTGAAATGCCTAGTTATTGTTAATGTATTGGTCAAGATAAGTTATGAGTGTTGGCATGGGAGATACAAAACATTGGAATGTTTTTAGGGCCATACTTGCAGAAGTATAAATCAGATTTGATAGTCAGTTGGAAGTAAGATAGACACATATAAATTAAAAGCTGTTAAAACTGAAAATGAGGAAATGCATAAAAGTGGTGATATATTATTTATTCAAACTTGCCTGAAGATGCAGAAAGTAAAGTCAGGCATAAGCCATAGAAGTCAGATCCACACCTTTAATCTCAGCAGCCACAAGCTAGAGATGGTGGTATACATCTTTAATCCTAGAACTCAGAATTAAGAGATAGAAAGATCTCCACAAGTTCAAGGCCACCCAGATCTACACAAGACTGAATCAGTCTAACAAAGAATTATAGCTCCCACTTTTAATCCCAGGACTCATAACAGGTATATAAGACAGGAGCAAGGTCTGAGATCAGGCATTCACACGGAGGATAGAAACATTCAGTCCCCAGCCATGCTGAGGAGAGCTTGTGGGTCAGCCTTTTCATCCTGAGGTACTTACTTGTATGTATGTCCTGATGCTTTGCTTTTCTGACCTTCAGATTGAAGAGCTGAAAAGCGAACCCCAGTATCAGTCACTGGGTTTTGTGTGTGTGTGTGTGTGTGTGTGTGTGTGTGTGTGTGTGTGTGTGTGTTACAGATAACCTTTTAAAATAAGTGGTTTCCCTTATAAATGGTGACCAATACCATAAAAGAAGGATTGTAGCAGTGACATTGGAGAGTTTTTCAGTGTTTCCAAGAAGGAAGGGGAAGATATTGCAGCAGGTAAGAGATGATAAATACAAAGATAGTGATTAAGTTATGTAACATTTATGATTCTAAAGCCAAAGAGGTGTGGTAGACCAAAATAAAACTTGAGTCAGGCAGTTTTTAGGAACCTGCAAGGGTGTTATGGGAACAGTCTAAGCAGCTGAACTATTCTCTCCACTCTTTTACAAGTGGTTTTATTGGATTACATTTGGGCCTTACTAAGCAATATAACAAAACTCCTTAGTTCTTCTAGGATAGTCCAGGTTTTAGTACTAAAAACTGCATAGGCCCAGAAGCTCTCAGTCCATAAGAAGCATTTCTGGTTGATCAACCCCATTGTTAGTAAAATATATCAAAAAAGAAATAACGAGGTGAAAACAGAAGAGTAAATATACTTGAGAAACTAGAGTGATTAGGACTAACAACTTTGAAGACTAAGTAATATCAAACTGTGTGTGTGTGTTAATAAAAGGTATGCTTAATGAGAAACATTGGGATTTATTATCTTGTTAATTTTGCAATTGTAGTGAATGCATGCTACACAGTAGTTGTCAGAGATGTACTGTTAAATATAAGAAAACCAAAGACTGGGGAGTTCAGTCAGTTAGATGTATTGAATAATTGGTACCAGGATTCTGAAATATAAAGCATGCACCACAACAAATAAAAATAACAGCAAGCACAGCAGGCAGGTGAAAAGATATATAGGCATTTAATCTAGTGACATGGGCCCTAAAACAACAAAAGTTTTGTAAATTAACATACACAGATAATAGAAAAAAAGACATTGGCCAGCACAGGAGCACACAGTACATTGTGATTAGTCATTACTAAACAGTGAGGGAGGATGTACCAACTCCAACAAGGTGGGAAGTGGACAAGAATATTCCTAAAGATGGAATCAGACTTCTGCTTATATTTCAAGGCAGGAAAAAGATTAGCTGAACATATGAAAGAGACAAAAGCCTTCACTAGTCTTGAAAATGATTTCTAGGAGAAAAATAAAATTCTACCCAATTTTTACCATATTTAGGTTTGTCCTTCACATTTGTGCCACAGTAGGTAATAGATTTTATCAAGATGAATACAATAAATCTCAGGAGCAAACACCTTCTAATGGAGAGGAACAATAACATATTGTTATTTTCTGTTTAAAAAAATCAAATTTCTTGTAGCAGATTGTGGAAGCACAAGCCTTTAATCCCAGAACTCAGAGGTAGTGGCAGACAGATCTCTGTGAGGTTGAGGTTAGCCTGGTCTACACAGCGAGTTCCAGGACAGTCAAGGCTCCTGAGAGAAACCCTGTCTCAAAAAACCAAAATAACCAAATAAATAATAATAGTAACATTTGAAACTGTAAATTTTAATGCCAAAATATTTAAAGGAATAAAGTATGTGGATTTAACAAAACTAGCATTGACATATTTGAAATACCTACCCAAATACAAACGAGGCATAAACCTCACCTCTATAAATGGCAAGTAGCACCCAGAGCAGTAGTATGAAGCTCTTGGCTCCAAAATCTTCACATTTAGTCAGTTGTCAACAATAATAATAATAGTTAGAATGATAATAACACTATGTTCCTGAGTGCATGAAGGATGATTATTTTTTTTTTGCCCTTGCTTACACCAGCATTGAAGTTTGACATGTGGATCATTTTTCAATTAAAATATATTAGATCCTGAAGGAAGAAAAATGGATCTGTGGTTTAGAGCACAGGCTACCCTTCCAGGTGACCCTGGCTTGATGTCCAGCACCAGGAGACTAGCTCACACCTTTCTATAACTCTAGTTCTAGGGGATTCAGTGCCCCTTTCTGACCTCTTTGAGTACTGCATGCTAGCGTATATGGAGCGCATATTATGATTTATTCACAATATAGGTCAACTCCATCAATAGTCTGAAGCTCCAGTCCCTCTTCTGTTGCTTCTCTGTCCCTTGGAAGTCAAATTCAGGAAGAAACAGCGAGGATAAATTTTGGTTTAGTATTTGGAAACTCAACTCCATTTTCACATGGTATATACTGGAGATGGGAAGGTGCAGATAAATAGAAAACGTGGGGATGGAGATGAGCAAAACACTGTCATGTTGCTATCTTCTTGGCTCTTCTGGCTTCTAATGCCGATGAAACGATACCTAGTCAATTTGCTACCCACAGTTTTAATTATAATAAGGTGAGTCCAAGCTGTATAGAGTAACCGTAAGCTGAACTTAAAGACCTAACATAATTCTGTGTGACACAGCTCAAGAGACAGAAACAAGTTTCACCCAATCAATTGCAAAGTTGGAGGTTTGGGCCCATTCAAACGGCCAGGTATAATTGTTACAGAATTTCAGTACAATTAACCAATTGCACCACTTCTTCCATGAGATTCTATAGCCATTTGAAAGAATAAAATCCAGACTGCCATTTAATGTGTAAATCTCTTTGAAAGTTTAAACTAAGTGTGTTTATAATTAATTGTAGCACTTTGTTCAGTTATTGAAAAGTAGTATTCCCTGTTAGGTCAGCTTTCCTTTCTGAAGTGTGATCTTTATTCTATATCTAGTTTGTCAATAACTTTGTAATGGTAAATATCAGCCTAGGGACTTCATCATGCTCAATAGTATTTGGCCAAAGACAATTGCTACTCATACTAATTGTAGTGTAGCATACAAGAATAAAGTCCCTTGTGGACATGCCTCCATTGTATGGTATGTTGCCAACACACGCTTGATAATTCTCTATGACTAGGAAACATAGTGAAGGTTCTAAATATTTAAATTTGCAATTAGTACTTGAGATATTTTTCCAGTTATGAAGGTCTATATAATTATTTTCAAGTCTCAACTTGTAATCCACAATTTGGATTAGAGTTCATTCTACTCAATTTTATAGAAAACCATATAAAGTGTATGTATCTTCTTCCTGCATGGTGCTTTCTGTAACATCTAAATTATTGGAAACAGCTAATACCTTGTGAACATAAAGCAGCTTTTGCATTGTGTTAGGTAGGGAATAAGGACACAGTCTTATATGTTTAGTACAGATGTAAACTTTTTTCTAAATATTTGTGAGCTGTGTTTGGATAAATTTGCAAATATATACTCTGAGAAAACAAGGGTCAACTCTTCCTCAAAATTAAAATATGCCAAAAATACTGCAAGACTGGACTGGAGGAACTCCTATCAGTAAACATCTGAATCCAATGTTGATATCTAAAATCTTAGAAAGTTATCACTATGCTCTGATCTCAAAAACCATAGAAAGGGGGAAGAATAAACTGAGAAAATAGCCAATATTTTTAATAAAAAACTTTTGTTTTGAAGCACAAACCTTCACTTCTATATAGGCTTTAGGAGAAAAAAATAATGATCATTTTATACAATATAGTATTCTCACACAACTAGTAGAGAGATCCATGATAGAAATTGAAGGAAATTGAGATTGGAGGGCAAAAGTCACTGAGAAATGTGGATAGGTCCAGTTATAAAATCTTAGGTAAGATCTGCTGATCTAATCAGGACTACAGGGTCCACAAAGTGATAAGATATTTCATGCTATTTTATCAAAACCCTGGGGACTGTGCATGTACAAGCATGAAAAAGATAATCCTGTGAGAGAAATTCTTAGTGAAGTTCCCAAATATTTTCAAGAGTTATTTCTAAGAACACTCTCCTTCTCAAATTCTCACAGTTGAAAACCAGATATTTGTTTCTAGGTAGCAGAAATGTAGGTACTTAGACATAAGGCAAAATCATGCTTTGTTACAGTCTACATTCCAGAGTGAAAGATCTTACCAGAGCTGTATCATAAAGGGAAGGCATGGACTTTCTGAGCAGTTTCCTTGCAAGATTTCTGTGTCACTAAAGGTTGAAAAGAAAACAACAACCAACTGAGATTAATGAAAAAATTATGAAAGAGTCCCTCTCCCACGTTTTACCACTACAAAAACATGTCTATATATTATGGGGTTACAGGTGCAAGAAACAAAATCTATTTAAGAAGAAGCTCTTCAAGAAATCTCAAAGCAACAGAAGGGGTAAAAAAGCAATCATAAAACACAGACAAAAAAGAAACAAAAGTCACTAGAGGAACTTAACATCTCTGTAACATGCAATTTATATTACAGTTTCAAAGGATTTCCGCTGCCGATGAATCCTAAGGAGCTTCCACATAGAAAGCCATCTGAGAATAAAGGGAATTCTATTTGCTTTCAGCCTGTGTCTTATCATTCCCTGTCCTTGTTGCTCTAGCTAAGCCTTCCATTGAATAGAAGCTGTGAAGTTGATGTACTTTTCTTATTTCTGGTCATAGGTGAAAAAAGTTCAGGTACTTATTAAATTGGATGAGGGTTCTAAGAGTTTTTAATGTTCCTGCTCTAGCTGTGAAAGTGTCCTCTATCCTAAGTTTGCTGACAGGTTCTGCTGTGAAGAGGTGCTGAATTTGTCTGTGGTTTTTGTCTTGTAGGAACTAATGCTTAGACATTCTTCTTAAATCTTGAGTGATAAAGTAGAGTTGATTTCCTGATATAATCCCTACTTGATTAAGGCACAAGATTCTCTTTGTATATTGTCGTGTTTTCTTTGTTTCCAAAGCACTATCATGAAATAATACTGAGTAAGTTGTATACTCATGCATACTTCCAGCCATTATGTATGACATTTTGAAAATGTTCATTTACACAGCTTGTGATCAATAGAAAAGTGTGGTCAATATTTTCCTTCTCATTAACCAAGTGAATCAGATATCCTTTTCCTTGGTGTTAAGTGAAAGTTGAATGAAATTTCAACTGCTAAAGGATTAAAAAAATATAAGGAAGAAACCTATAGGAAGAAAAGGTTTTATATCAATAATATCCTAGCTTAAGAGAGTAATACTTAAAAAATAAGATCTTGATAATAAGCTATGTTTTCAAATAGATTTATCAAATACCTTAGGATATCATTAAATATAAAATGTAAAAATATTATGCATTACAGTTTTACATATCTTTAATATTTGTGAATTTTAAAGTTTATGAATTTAATGATACTGAAGAAATCTAGAGGGAAATATGCCGGGGTACGTCCAATATCAGTCCTAGGCTGTAAGAGCCACCTATTCTGGACTGATGTCTTTGGGGCTGTGTTCAGAACCAGGAAAACAGCCCTGGGTCCAACCCTGAGTGGGGGAGTATAGACCGGGGGAATCCTATCTACACAGTAGAGTTAAGAATGAGACAGAGACATCTTGTCATTGCAGGAGGGCTCTCAGTCAATACTGGAGATCATGGTTTATTCAAGCATCCTCTTAAATAGCTTTCCAAAAGTGGGGATACCAGCAGAGATGGTCCTAGAATGCATGTACACAAGCCCTCAGATATTCCATAATGGCATGTCTCACCAGGCTTCAGACACATCCCACTAGCCCTCATGATGGGTTGGGACCTAGGTCTTCTGTTACACAAACTAGAACCATTCTCCACTCTGACAAGGTCATCCAGAGGTAACCAGCCTACATCTAAAAGACAATAGGGGATTTGAGTTCCTGGAATTGAGCTGAGGTCTATATCCAAAATATCATATTCGGGCCACGACAGAAATATATAAATATCAAGTCAAATTTTTCCATGAAACCAGCATTGCCATATTGCATTAGTGAAACAGTAAGTTAAAATGGCTATGATAATTAAACCACATGTCCCAAAATATAATGCTCTATTTCCCTTTCTTTTGAGTCTAGGCTGGGACCACAAACTTCCTCCTTATTACCATAATATACAGCTGTGCTTCTGTCCAGTGAGTGAAGACACAAATGTGCCCCTGTCCAATAGGTGAAGACACAGCTTTGCCTCTCTCCAGTGGGTGATTAATGCTGAATCTTCTTACTGTCTTATTCTAAAAAAAAATTTCACTTGATATCTATAAGAATGTTTTTGAATCAAGCAGGATGCTGTCTGGAAGATGTCTAAATGACTTGGGTTAGCCATGTCGTCAATGAATACAGTCAGTAAAAGCCAGTCAGTAACTACTGGCTATATGGAAACAGTCACTTTAGGTATTCCAGGCTAATCAAGAAGCATCACAATTTTAGCACTGACCAGTACCACAGGAAGCAGAAGCTCAACTCAATTTAATCTGATCAATACCACACACACACATATATACAAACTCATAAGTGGAAATAAATATATTGCTACTTAAAAAAGTTCCAGGCTGGGTAGCTATACAAAAGAAAGGCAGAAACGGGTAAAAAAAGAAAAGAAAAAGAAAAAAAACTTCAGTTTGATTCTAAGTGGATAGTGACTCTGGTTTTACGCTGCTTTTAATCCTTAGTCAGATAGCAGTTCCCTGACCTTTGATAATTCACAATTCACCCTTTGTCCCAGAATCCTGGTTTCTATAGAAATGCCTTCATGGGGTTGTTGTGGGAATTGAGCAGTGTCTGCTATGTTCTTCCCCAGTGAGCTAGATGAGGAAATATTTCCATGAATGGGTCTGTTGTAGTGTTGCTCTTGAGAAAGTTGTTAAACTGCTCTGTATTTATAGTCCACATAGCTTAAGTCTGCAGACAGCATGGAGTGTTCTACAGTAAATGGAAGTGAATAAAAAGTCTAAGATCAAAGTTATCCCAAATTCAATAAATATATTTTAAAGGATACTACTTATGCAATAGCAATAGTTTTGAACATAACTGTAGTTTTGAAATGAATAATATTTTGGCTATTTTTACAAATTATTTTCTTATACAAAATACTTTACCTTCTGTCTTTCAAATTACTACACTTATCATTATGTTCTTAACGAGCTAAAACATTTAAAAATTAGCGAGCTATACTTGATGGTAGAATTGATATTGCTTTTATTCTATAAAAATTACTGAATAACCTATTTACCATAAAACTAAAGCAGTGTCATCCAAGAAACATGCCATAAATCACAGAAGTTATAGACGTGTCTTGATCATATTTCATTACATGCCTCATTTTGTTCTTCATTTCTCAACTTAGATTTCAGCATCTGACAAGAACTCTCATTTGCACCAGACATCCTTATAGATCTTTCCCCACTTAATTATGTGTTACAAATTTCCTGATGGTATTCTCAAGCCAGCTCTCAATTTGACTTCTTATGTTCAATGGCTTTTCCATGCCCTTAAGGGAAAATTAACTCTAGATTGATAGTGATAGTTAGTATCTATTTATGTTATCCAAACAATAAGTATTTTTATCTTTATGTTTGGCCAATTGCATATTCCAAACCACCAATTTCAGTTGTCACAAGTCAAACTCTTAATTTCCTCCACATTGACTCTTCCTATCCCAGCAGGATATGTCGCCTCGCTCAAGCCTCTATCACAGACTCACTTTGTATAATAAGAAGCACAGGCATTCTGCTATAGGGCTCTGAAAATCCCTGATACTTCTTCTTATCAATGTGCACATAAAATGCAATGGTATCAACCCATGATGTTATCCCTGGAGATGACAGAGTTTCTCTATGTTAGCATAAGTAAACCCGTTCTCAACCCTTCATGGGAAAAGGGAAAAGGAAGTGGATTAGGAAAATTGCACACCTGAAAAGAAACATACATGTTGAAAGTATCTAGCAGTTCCTAGAGTTGCTTACAGAACCTCCTTAAGAGACATTGGTTCAATTTGTTTTAATTTCTTAATCTGAGTTGGACTGATCAGAAATATCTTAACAGATATGAACACTGACTTCATAGTCTGATTTATCACAGAACTTGAATCAATATTTGTCAGTGATCAAACAAAATGTGCTGACAATATCAGAACTATGATAAAACCTTACCTAGATGATGAGACTACTGGGAAGGGAGATGGTGAATCCACTTTAACAAATTTAGATGTAATGAGAAAATGAATGCATTTAGAGTGACAGTTACTGCTGGGACATTTCAGAATCAAACAATTCCTCTGGCTTTTCTTTAAATAGAAACCCTTCAAAATAGTTCTTGGGTATTCACTCCCTTACAATCTATCTCCCAGGAACCTTCCTAAAAGCTATTTCCTTTAAACTATAATTGAGGTACATCATGATAATGAAAAAGTCAAATATACTTTTATCTACCTCTGTGCATAAAGTAAATTTAAAATTTTTACTTTTCTTAGTTTCAGGAGGTCCCATTTGTTAATTGTTGATCTCAGTGACTATGCTACTGGTGTTATGTTCAGGAAGCAGTCTCCTGAACCAACTCATTGAACAGTATCTCCCACTTTCTCTTCTAAGAGTTTAAGTGTGGTTGGATTTATATTGAGGTCTTTGATCCATTTGGACTTGAGTTGTGTGCAAGGCTATAGACATGGATCTATCTGCACTCTTCTGCATGCCAATACCCAGTTATGCCGGCACCATTTGTTGAAGATGCTTTCGTTTTTCTATTGTATATGTTTTAGCTTTGTCAAAAATCAAGTGTTCGTAGGTGTGTGAGTTAAAGTCAGGGTTTTCAATTCGGTTCCATTGGTCTACCTATATATTTTTGTGCCAATACCAAGCTATTTCAGGACTATAGCTCTATAATAGAGCTTGAAATCAGGTATTGGTGATGCCTCTTGAAGTTCCTTTATTGTATAGGGTTGTTTTGGATAACCTGGGTCTTTTGTTTTTCCATATAAAGTTGATTATTGTTCCAAAATTTACAAAGAAATCAAGAAGCAAGTCTCCAAAACACCAAAGGATCCAATTAAAATATGGGGTACAGAACTAAATAGAGAATTCTCAATAGAAGACTCTAAAATGGCTGAGAGACACTTGAGAAAGTGCTCAACATCCTTAGCCATCAGGGAAATGCAAATAAAACCAACTCTGAGATACCATCTTACTCCTGTCAGAATGGCTAAAATCAAAAACACCGAAGACAA